TGAGAGGGAAGACAGTACTTTTCATGTTTTTTTTTCTTTAAAAGATTTTAAATTTTAATTAAGGTCTCTTGTAGCTCAGGCTGGTTTCATACTCACGGTGTAGCCAAGGATGACCCTGAACTTCTAATTCTCCTGCTTATATTCTTCTCAGTGTTGGAATTCCAAATGTTCAAACCCATACTGGTTTATGTGTATGGAGATTGAACCCAGGGATTGGCGTGTGCTAGGCAAGTACTCTATGAACAAGCTACCTCCCCAACCCTGTGGGTGCTTCCTTGAATGGGATTTTCTTCTAGGAACCTATTCTGAAACTTTGAACATTGCTTCTGCGATGTTTTTGAAGTTTCAATGTATAGAGAAGGTTTCTAGTTGGATAGACCTTTTTATTTTTTTTCCTCACATGTGGAATGTGTACATGGGTGCATGCCTGTTTTGTGGTGTGCCTAGGCTAATTTCTGGTATCTTTCTGGATCACTCTCTACCGTATTCACTGAGGTATGGTCTCGAACAAACCCAGAGCTCACTGATACAGCTAGTCTGGCTATCGAGCTTGTTTTGGGGATACCCAGTCTCTGCTTTCTGTGTTCTGAAATTAGAGGCAAGCTGCCAGACCCACCCAGTATTTAAGTGGGTTCTGAGGAATCGGATCTCCAGTCCTCACATTGCACAGCAATCATTTTAACCACTGAGGCATCTCCCCAGACCCTGCATAGACTTTTCTGTGGAGCATGTGTAAGCTTTGAGATTATTCGGAGTTCTGGGATTCCTTTTTTCCCCTTTGTATAACTGCCTTTTTTCCCCTAGTACTAGGGATGGACCCCAGAATCTGCACATATTAGGCAAGCAGTCTGCCACAGAGCTGCATCCCACTTGTTAGTGTCTTTGTCTGATAGAAATTGTAGTTGCTCATCAGAACAATGATTTCTTTTTCCTTTGTCTGACTGCCTAAGTTGTCACGCTAGGAACAAGCCCAAAGCAAAGGGTAAAAGTATTTACCAGATCAGAATTGATATGAAAATTCTAGTAAAGAAAATATACCATGGATAGAAACATGGGGTGTCCCTGAAAGGGAATGTGGTCCTTTCATAGCAGTCAAGGACTGACTGACTACCAGGCCTTACCTTCTGAGCCATTTGCATGAGGTCCAATTTGAGGAGGTGAGGGCTAGCCTACTGTCTTCAGTTGTAAATTTGTAGACTGACCATGTCAGGTAAGCACTCTGATAACTTAATTAGTCTCAATTGTATATATAAGGTCAGCAGCACAGGCTCCATAGTTAGGATCTGATTGTTAGTGAGGGATTTTGTTTTTATTCTAGCCTCTTTGTCTCCACACAGTGTCTGAGCGAAAGGAAATAGAAGGCAGTAAAGTGCTGCAGTGTGTCTGTCTTCAGCAGGTGTCCAGAGTGGAAAGCACCAAGATCTACACGCCTTCCCCCCTCCTCCTGCAATGCAGGGGCACTTCCCAGCTACTGGCTTTCGGGGTTCACATCACTCCGCTGAGAATGTTGTCCAATTTGCCAGTGTCTTTTGCCATGCTGCCTGAACAGTGGGCTCACTGACCTTTTCCACCACTGTGTCCAGCTGTTCCTGGATCAAAATCAACTCTGTTTCAGCCTACCCTTTCTTTGTACCAGCAGTGTGTGTCTGTTCTCCTGACCTGGCATGCCTGCTTCTGCTTCTGGGCTCCCTCTGAGGACAGTTCTGTCAATGCACTGTGATTTCCCTAAGTGACCAGAAGAGCCCTGGCCTGAGCATCCTGACCCCCTGGGCTCTGGATTGGCTGTGTTACTCCTTAACCTTGCACAGGCAGATCCATTTGCCTTCGACTGAGGTGTTTATTGTTTGTGCAGGGTCTTTGTGAGATTTTTTTTTTTTTTTTTTTTTTTTTTTTGGAAGGGCAAGCAAGTGAGATTTGTTGAAAGGTAGAGAAAGAGCTCCCTGGAATAGGGAGTGGGAGTGGAGGATTCAAAAGAGATGACCCTCCAAGAGAATTTTTATTATTTTTAGAAGTTCTTGTAGATTTATGTGTGTAAGTGTTTTGCCTGTATGTAAATAAGTGCACATCCATGTGCCTGGAGCCTGTGGAGGTCAGAACGCACCAGATGCTCTGAAACAGGAGTTATGAATGGTCATGAGCCACCATGTAGGAGCTGGGAAGCAAACCTGGGTCCTCTGCAAAAGCGGCCCTTTAAATGCAGAGCCAACTCTGCAGCCCCCATGGGAACTTTTTTTTTCATTCATTCATTCATTCATTCATTCATTCATTCATTTATATTTTATGTGCATTGGTGTTTTGCCTGCATGTATGTCTGTGTGAGTCTGTTGGATCCCCTGGAACTGGAGTTAGACAGTTGTGAGCCACTATGTGGGCTCTGGAAATTGAACTCAGGTCCTCTGGAAGAGCAGTCGGGGCTCTTAACCGCTGAGCCATCTCTCCAGCCCCCCCATGGGAACTTTTAGAGAGTCAAATGGAATAATGATTATGAAAAGAACTTTGAAAAATAGCATTGGGAATATGCTGAAGTGATGGCTGTGTTATTGCTGGTTCTTACAAATTTGTCTGAGAGAGCTCCAGTATGATTTCTTCTAATGGCTAAACAGACTGTATGAGCATTAAAAAACAAGTTAAAATGACAGAGTCCCATCATAGCTTGTCCTTTTTAAAAATGAATGCTAGGACTGTCTGTGGAAAATACTTTAGACATGTCAGGTTTCACTTTATACTGAAAGCAGTTATTGATGTTAAAGATCTTGTTTACTTTAAGCAATGGTTTTGCTGGTAGTAAAAATGAGCTTAGTAAGCCTTGAGGTGGTAGCGCACGCCTTTAATCCCAGTTCTCGGGAGGCAGAGGCAGGTGGATATCTGTGAGTTCAAGGCTGGTTTGGTCTGTAGATTGAGTTCCAGGATAGTCAGAGCTGTGTATAGTGAGACCCTCTCTCAACCTCCCCGCTCCCAAAGAAGTGTTTCCTATAACCTAGTCTGCATTGCTGTAAAAGCCTTAGGCAGGGACAGTGTACTGTTTGTGGGTTTGGATTCCTTTGTTTACCAGATATGACGTTGGTCGAAATAGTTGACTTCTTTGTGGTTTCTTTTTTTCAGACAGGGTCTCATTATGCAGGCAAGGCTGGCATCAAACTCTTGAAAGATTTGCCTCCCGAATGCTGGGATTAAAGTCATGTGTCATCACACCCAGCCCTTGATTTTATTGTAAAATGAGTGGATAAAGTGAACATAATAAACTAGTTAAATGTTCTCACTTCCTGTTTAAAATTGGCATGAAAGGGAGAAGAAAGATGAACATGAAAGAAAGCCTAAAGTGGTTAGAGATTTGTCTCGAGAAGGCTGGGTGTGGGTTGGTAGAGGGCCAGTCTAACATGAGTGAGGCCTTGCGTTCCCAGGAAACCCTCTCATAGAAAAGCCGTTTGTCGTGATTTTCATTGTCTGAATATAGTTAAGTAATGATTAATTTGAACCAGATACTTTTACTAATGGAGAAAGCTGCTTATGTATTTTTTCCTAGGAGAAAAAAATGGAGTATGTATTTTTTGTTGTTGTTCTTGGTTTTTTTTGAGACAGGATCTCTCTGATGTATGTATCCTGGTTGTCTGGCTATGTAGACCGGGCAGGCTGGCCTTGAACTCACTGAGATCCTTTTGCTTCTCCTTCCCTAGTGCTGAGATTAAAGGTATATGTCACCTAGCCTGGCCTGGAATATATGTATTTTAGAAGGTGGATGATCCTGAAGTTAAATGTAAACCTGACAGCCAGGCGTGGTCTCCCACGACTATAATTCCCCAGCTCAGGTAGGCTGATCTTGGTACGTTCAAGGCCAACCTGTGAGTTCCAGGACAGCCAAGGCTACACAGAGAAACCCTGTCTCAAACAGAACAAACAAAACAAACAAAGGTGACCATGAAACAGGATATTGAAAAAAAATGTCGGTTATGCATATTTGGTTTTTATTTTTGTTTGATTTTTACTGTGCTGGCTTTGAACCTATGGCTTAGCAAGTGCTCTGCTATTGAGCGATATAGCCTCACCCCCTATGATAATATTTAGATACTATTTTTTGATACTATATCTTGGTAAGATTATTGCTTAGTTATAAAACAGATCTTTTCTATATTTCTAAAGGCTTTCTATAAAAGGAGCTGTCGATCTGAAAGGATTAGCTGATAAAGTAAATGGGAATATGAAGGGTGTCTGCCTGTAGGATGCACTCCTGTTCTATGTTGGAGTGGTTTGTTGTTACTGTTTTTGAGACAAGGTCTCACTGTGTAGCCTTGGCTGGGCTAGAATCTCTGACATCACCTGCCTCTGCCTCCTAAGTGTGTTCTTAAGCAAGACACAGAACTCTGAATCTGCTTCTTCTGTCCCCACCCCCACCCCTAGGGATTGAATCCAGAGCCTCAAACATGCCAGGCATGCACTGAAGTCAGCACCCACCCCCCTCTTTCTTCTGCTTTTATAAACGATAAGCCGTCAGTGGTGGGGCAGTCGGGGAGGGTGAAATGCGACTGCTAGAGGATTGTGAGGTGAAAGCACCACACAAGTGATGTTATGGAGATGCGATAATTAATTTAGAGTTGTCAGCCCAGAAAAAGAAATTTGAGCCGGGGGTAGTGCATACCTTTAATCCCAGCACTCAAGAAAGCCTCAGAGGTAGGCGGGTTTCTCTGAGTTTGAGGCCAGCCTGGTCTACAGAGCAAGTTCCAGGACAGCCAGGAATACACAGAGAAATTCTGTCTCAAAAAAACAAAACAAACAACAACAACAACAAAGGAAATTTGAGACCTTCTCTTAAAATCATGTGACACCCTGGTTTTGAAGTTAAAGTATCGCAGTGCTTGAGGTCTCGTTGCTATACCCAACGCAGTAACTCTGTCAGCCAAAGTCATATGTGGCAAGTTAACACATTTCTTACGGCTTGCCAGTATTTGAGTGGATTGGACTCATTATGAGTGGCTTGGTAAAATCCTATTTCATACTGAATCCAGGAGCCATCACGTGACGGCAGCCCTTCGAGGTCCTCGGCAGCTCGGCCTGGAGGAGAACACATGAGAGAAAGGTTTGTTTTTACAGATGTAATTCATGAGAGTGTTTCAAAATAAGTCATCTTAAAGCTTGAAGTTCTGTTTTGTTTTTCCCTTTTCAGAATTCCAAGCGGCTCTGTTTTCTTTGAAAGGGTATTTCTGTACAGTTGCTCCAATGACAGAGATACCTGCACCCTTGTCCTACTTCCAGAATGCTCAGATGTCTGAGGACAGCCACTCCAGCAGCACCGTCCGTAGCCAGGTACAGTGTTGGCTTCTGAAGCTTTCCCATCATCCTCCTTACGCACCTCTGGAAGGTGCTGAGGCTGGGGCAGCTTTGTTCTACTTCGCTGACATCTTTATTTTCTGAACACTAAGCGGAGGGGGGAGGTAGATATCATAGCCTTAGTGCTGGGGTCTTGTCCCACAGGCCTGTTTGATCCTAGTGTACTGAGCTACTCCCCCAGCCCATAAGGCTGTGACCACATGAGTGTTGATGCAGGTCTACCTGCATCATACCACCTCAGATGAAACTTTGTCCAACTTCCTGAGGTATAAGGACCTCATGATCCACATTATTTGTCTTGATCCTACTCTTTTATAGGAAGAAGTGAGTACATTTTATTACTTTTTCTAGTTTCTGGGCCAGTTTCTGAGAGTGTTCAGTATTTAGTGACAGTATTATAGAATACAAGGTCAAGCATGGAAGTTCTGAGTCAGGATAGGGTGTGATACACGGTACAGTATATAAGCTCTCCCCAGACTACGTACACACACAGAAGTCTACCTGTTGTAACCCTGTTAGCTAGCCATTGCTGACCAAGTGCAGACTCCACAGTGGGCCTGTGAAGTGACCAGGGAATTGGTAGAATTTCCTGAGGCACAGCCAGGACGGAGGAAAACCTTGACAAGGCCAGTCTAAGTTCTGCAAGGCTGGCCTTAGGGGCTAGTGTGCACTTGTTCCTAAAGGTTGTCATTAAAGGCAAGTCACCAATGACTACTAGGGACTTGGAGAGATGGCTTAGGGGTTCAGAGCAATTCCTACTCTTCAGAGGACCCAAGGTTTCTTGCATCTACATGAGGTGGCTCCCGACTGCCTGTTAACTGCAGCTCCAGCATGCACATACACAAACAATCTCCAGGTTTTCTTTGTGCTCTTTGTGACGCTGTTAGCTGATCATTGCTAATGGAGTGCAGACTCCACAATAGCCCTGAAGATTTAGATTCCTCACTTTCCCACCAGTAAAGTTAGATGATTTACTAAATAGTCTGTTACCTTCTAACTTAAATGTTTTGGCAGCACAAGGATTTGGGGTAGCCTGAGACTAGAAAGTAGGACTTCTAGTTTTAAAACCAATATAGCCCTGAACAAACAGGTTCAAGATTGAACTGGTTACTCTTACCACAAGTATAACGAATTGAAGTAATTTTTGAAAGACTAGCCAAGTCTTACTCAGATAGTTGACAGTCTTGTATAAGTTTAAGCACCATTATATGTAATGTAATCGTAATATAAATATCTAATATGCAGGATATCTGATACTTGACCCCAAAAGGGTTGTGACCCACAGGTTGAAAACTGCTGATCTAGAGCATAGCAAATAAGTAACCAACTTTATAAAGGCTGCCTTATTTGGCGTACACTCCTTGTTTGTAAAGGCCATTTTCATTAAGATTTTCTGTTTCTGTGTCTTAAAAACAACAACAACAACAACACATTTTCTTTTATTTTTTTCTTTTTTTGGTTTTTTGAGACAGAGTTTCTCTATGTAGCTTTGGCGCCTTTCCTGGAACTACTCTTAGTCCAGGCTGGCCTCGAACTCACAGAGATCCGCCTACCTCTGCCTCCCAAGTGCTGGGATTAAAGGTGTGCGCCACCACCGCCCGGCTAAACAACACATTTTCTGTGATGTGGCAGTTCAGACCCAGATATTGTACATGATAGTTATGCTACATACACCCTCTCCCGTTTCTATTTATTGATCCTAAACTCAATGAAATTATAACCAAATAAATGAAATCTCTACATTTAATTTGGAAAGAAGAACTGGTTTTATGACAACAACAACAAACAACACAGAAAAAAATGGAAGTACTGTTATGCCCAGATTGGGACCCCAAAGACAAACCACCACAGACCTTAGGTTCAGAATGCAATTAGCATGGTTTATTTCTGTTTGTTTACAAGCCGCGGACAGGGAAGCTCGATCCAAAGCACTCACTTGTAGTCGTGAGGCCAGGAGGAACTTGCTTTTTCTTTGTGTGGCTAGCTTTTTAAAGGCAAAATCCACAAGCCCTTCAGGGGGGTTGGGGGAATTTTGCACGGGTGCAACTCGGATTGGTTTATTTTTATCTCTGTTCTCTTTTAATTGGGTGAGGGTATGTAACCTTTGAATTTACTGGTTGGTGGTTACAATTTATTACTTTGGGGGCAGTCCAGCACAAGTCCCAGGCTTTGTCCTTGAGCCACCATGGGGGCTGGCTGGCCAAGCACGTACTGCACATAACTCTAAATTGGTGAGGGGCCCCAGAAAGTAAACATCTGGCTAAACTTTGAGCAGTCTTTTGTTCATGGCCCTCCCAGAAACTGCTTGCTCAAGTCTCAGGAAACTGAAATTGAGGCCTGATCTCTGAGAGAAGACTGAGCAGCTTGTTATGACATCTGCTTGGTCCTTTCAGTACCTCCTCCTTACCCCACCTTCTCTTCTTAGGAGTCACTCTTCTAAATTTGGCTCTTAGCATGTTTACATGCAACAAAGACAGACTTTTGGAACTATGTGTATTGCCCGCCTTAGCTCCTATGTTCTCTTCTTTTGTGAACATAAAATCCCAGCACTTGGGAGGCAGAGGCAGGTGGATCTCTGTGAGTTTAAGGCCAGCCTGGGCTACAGAGCGAGATCCAGGACAGCTAGGGCTACAAAGAGAAACCCTGTCTTGGGGGGAAAAAAAAACTTTGTTTACAAATGTTTGGTAGTTTCTAGTTTCTCAACACGCTGAGCAGATCTGTTGCCTGTGGTGGAGGCTTGAGAGGTCTCAGAGACAGACCAGATTGAGATCTCTGCCCACCCAGTGGTGCTGAGATGAGACAGTAGGGAACTGAAAGGAAGTTTTACTCTAGAGCAGAAGTACACTCAAGAGTGTGCTGGCTTCTCAGGGGAGAATTCTGGGTAGTTTATTTCATGGGTGAGCGTTAATGGAAGGGGATTGTTCCTGGATTAAATGGGGAGTTTGTCCAGATAGGAATCCAAGTAGGTTGGGTTCCTCCTCTGTAGGGTTTCTTACCATTTTTTTTTTTTTTTTTTTTTTTTTTTTGTCCTTGCGAAGTTTTTGGGTTTGTCAGATGCATGATGGCAACAGCCAGTTTTGCGAGGCTAAATGAATAGAAATCCATTTTAAAAAAGCAGAGTATGGGTTGGCCCTGCTGGTCCCAGTCAGTTTGAGCAGTGATGTGATAGATAAAACACAGCTCTGTGGTTGCATTAGTCTCTAAGCCACCAGCAGTTTGTCTGTCTTTTTTTCCTATGCCTGTGTAGCCTATCTCAGATCTGCCATTTTTAGTAGAACAACTAGCATGGCCTGTCTGTCTCAAGAGTCCAGTGGAGATTTTATGGTTTCCCCACCCACCCACCCACACCCTACTTTACTGCCTTCTATCATTTTACTGCCCCCCCTCCTCAATGTGGACATGGCTTTCATGTTTGTTGAGGCCGTTGATTGGCTATGTGTGTGTGGACTGTTGACTAGAAGATGGTCTAATTGAGTAATGGTTCACCTATTTCTGAAAAAAAAAAAAAAAAAAAAGAACAAGGCTTCAAATCTACAAATAACTAAAGTTTGTGTTCTAAATTATCTTATATATCAGGTATTCTGGGAGCTCTAATAAAAGCACTGGGTATTTGGCTGTAGTTTGGAGAAGCAGTTGGTAATTACCTTGTTGTTCTTTGAGGTACAGGCCTGTGATGTAGTCTAGGCTGGCTTCAGCCTTGTCATTTTTCTGCTGCAGCCTCCAAATGCAAGGATTATAGATATTTATCACCATACCTGACTCTTCTTTTTGACTTTTTGTTTTTAAGTTTTTGTTGTTGGCAGTGGGAGGAGGGAAGAGTGGGAATCTGTGGTTGGTAAGTAAAATAAATTAATTTCTTAATAAAGAAAAAAGGTATACTTTTAAAAAAAGGGTTTTGTTTTGTTTTTCGAGACAGGGTTCTCTGTGTATCCCTGGCTGTCATGAAGCTCTGTAGACCAGGCTGACCTCACAGAGGTCCACCTGGCTCTGACTCCCAAGTGCTAGGATTAAAGGCGTGTGCCACCACCACCTGGCCTAGGGGTGTGGTGTTTTAAGACAGGGTAACAGCTCTGGCCATCTGGAACTCGCTTTGTGAAGATACAGGCTATCTTCAAACTCACAGAGATCTGCCTACCTCTTGTTCCCAGGTGCTGGGATTAAAGGCGTGTACCACCACTGTCTGGAAAAAGTTAAACAGTGTCAGAAATATATAATAATAAAGCCCTAAGTGAAATGTACTTAAGTTTCAATAATTACCAATATGTAAATAATCTTGTTTTATCTTTTCTGTGTCTATGTTTAATCATTTTAGTAGTTAACAAGATTCTTAATTTTGGAAACCCCTAAGTAATTTTAGTATCATCTCCTCATTTTAACAGTTTTGAAAGCTGTTTTTTGTTGTTGTTGTTGTTTTTCCTTCTGAGATAAAGTCTCTTTATGTAGCTCTGGCTATACTGGGAACTCAAAGTAAATTTTAAAATCCCTTTAAAAAATGATTAAATTGGCCGGGCGGTGGTGGCGCACGCCTTTAATCCCAGCACTCGGGAGGCAGAGCCAGGCGGATCTCTGTGAGTTCGAGGCCAGCCTGGGCTACCAAGTGAGTTCCAGGAAAGGCGCAAAGCTACACAGGGAAACCCTGTCTCGAAAAACCAAAAAAAAAAAAAAAAAAAAAAAAAAATGATTAAATTTTATTTCATTTACTTTAAAAGAATCAATCATACTGTGTAATTTAGACTGGACTCACAAATCTTTTGCCTTAGTTTCCCAAGTGTTGGGATTACAGGTGAGTGCCGTTATGCTCAGTTTATTTTGATGGGGCCTTGCTGTGTTGCCCAGACTGGCCTCAACATCATGTATAAGCATGTGCCACTGTCCCTGGCTGACAGTCTTTAAGAATGGCTTTATGTGGTATAATTGGCATGTGATAAACTATACATAGAGCGTTCCATGTGCTGACTTAGAACATGTATAAATAC